TACTTCTCTAGATCCCCTTGGATTTGCCCCCCGGAACTCCGATTGATGGTACCATGTCTTGGGGTAGGGTGTCAAACAAGTTTAGCTTTTTGGATCCAACTCATGGTCATACAAGTACTTAATGTATCCAAGCCTACTTTCATCATCCGGCAATCCAAACAAAATAGGCCTTTTTTGAGGATCTCCAATCATTGTGCAAGCAAAGAAAAACTCGGGGGTATGAGTGTAACACCCCACTTTTCTTAAACTTAATTAACAAACTTAACATTGAAAGGTAACGGAATAAACTTTACTAAACAACTCAAAGGAGGTGTTACCGCCACAATCACCCTTCACGGTGATTGCACAGGCTAAGAATAACAACTGATTCATAAAAAGTCTTACTAAACATCAAACAAACTAAGGGATAAACCTTGGTGTCCAGCACCATCATAACATAGGGTAGACATCTACAAGTCTCAAAAGAGTAAATAACATCAAGAGTTTAGACTACAAAAACTAACTAATGCTAGTCTAGTCTAACTCGTACTCTCTCTCACGAACTGGGCCCACTTGAAAGGGGTTAACAAACAACAAGTAGAAAACAAACCCGTTAGCACGAAGTTAAGTATAACTCCACTCAACCCTGTAAAGTACTATAGTATATACTATAATTTTGCATTTTCTCTTTTTTTTAAACGGATTAACTGGATTAATCAACTAACTAAATGAACTGACTGATTCAGCGATGAATTCAATCAGTAATAACTAATCACAGTGAAGATTAAAGAAAAGATAACACCACAAAGCAACGACACAGAATGTTTACCTAGTTCGATACAGTGTGTATCTACGTCTGGGGGACGATCACATAGGCGTCCAATCCACTAAATCATAATCCGATGTACAAAGGTAGATATACAATAATCTTACCCAAGTGCCCCACACAAGGTACATACCTAGTCTATACAGGTTTAGTGGATTGTTGAAGATGGAGAGCTATGCATACAGAAGTCCAATGAAATCCCTTCACTTGGAGAGCCCACTCTGATGCAGTCCACTTCAATGACGCTCTTTACAGTTGTTCCCACAACAGTGTGATCACAGTGTCCTTTCGTTTAAGCAGCAGTGATTCTTCTCAAGTTCGTCATCTTAATCACCATGAACATGTTGTATTGAGAAGAGGCATGATAATCAAATATTTGATCTCATCAAACTGATGTGAAGTGTTTTCTTCTTTTTCAAAAGCGTAACCCTAATTCTCTTCGAATGAGGATACTTATAGTTCCGTCAAAAGAATACTCCTTTCATAGATGTCTTTGATTGTAGATGGTAGGACGATATTTGAAGAATGTAATCTTAAGGATTCGGTCCATACCTTTCCAAAGCAGATATGCTGATCTTCTGTCCAAATCTGACTTCTATAAAACCGCGTACAATATTTAGGAAAACAGCTTCCTAAAACAGATCTTCAGTGTCAGTCCTTCTGTTGTTGAATCTGGTTGATCAGTTCTCTGTAGAACAAAACAGACACTGAACTAATCCTATCTTAGTATGCCATACTAATATTGCCAATTATAAGTTGGGGTTTTTGAACAATTAAAACACTAAAAAACTCTCCCTTTGGCTATTATTTGGCAAAACAACTCGACTATATAGAAAGACATAAGAACTGAGATAACTAAGATAGGCTATCATAAAGCCACCCAACATTTGATTACATTGCAGAAATAAAAACACACCATACATGTCATGCTGGATCAAAACTAAGTCAAGAAAAACATTCTTCAAAAAGGAGATGCCATCACAAACAATCGCCCAGCCAGGGCCAGAAGGTACACAAAAACACAAACAACTCCCCCTGAGTTCATACTCCCCCTTTTTGCCAAAAGAGAGCCAAAGCCAGGTCAAGCGTTGGAGGGAGTCTCACTGTCAGACTTCACAGGAGCAGCAGCCGAGGCCTCAGTCAGGCTTAAACGAAGAAGAACAGTGGCTAATTCTGTACGAGCCCCTGTCAGCTGTTTAGCGATTATGCCATGAACGGTCTCGAGCTCAGAGACTCTTGCCTTCAATTGGATAGAGAGTTGAAGATCTCGTGCATGCGGCGAGTCATCTCCCACTGTATCAGTCTCAGGATTGGAGGGTGCAGTCACCGGCGTAACATCACAAATATGTTCTCCAATCAACAGACGCCGGTCCACCGTGTAGAGAAGGGTCGGACTGATCACCTCACTCGTCATAGGCTCAAGGCCCTGTGTTGTAAGAATTCCAAAGATCAAATTAGGAAAGGGCAGTCGTACCTTTTGTTCTCTCGGGTGAATCAGAGTGAGAATATGAGAATAGATCCATGACCCAAGGTCAAAGGGCATCTTGGTTCCAATTCTGAATAAGAGACTGGCCAGTGGCTTGCCGACAGTGTGGAAATGTGTCGAAGGGAGCCAGTTATGTAGAGCAAGACGATGAAGAATCACATATTTTGAGGTGAGCTGAGAGCTAGGTAGAGTATCCTTATCACCAGTAGGCCATCTGTCAGCTTGTCCACCTGTGACTGTTTTGGCCACTGCATCCCAGTCAGTGATAGCCTCCTCTTGGACTCCTTGCAGGCCATAGTATTCGTTAATCATGTCAGGGCCAAACACATACCATTTCCCTCGAATGAAAATCTACAGTGGGTGCTCTCCAGACAAATTGTCCATCTCCTCATTGAGATTACAGTAAAATTCTTATGTGAGCAGCTTGGAATAAGGACAGATGGCAGTGACAGTCTTCAGAAGACCCACTTCACTCAGCAAGGGCAGAACATCACAGACGGAATTCATCTGGTTTTCATCAACCGATCTTTGAACAATCAGTTCTCTTCGGACCACTGTGGACCACTTGGCTTGAGCAGAAGGAGAAACAAATTGAGGTCTGTAAATGGATGTGTCAGAGCTTTCAGCAGCTTGAACCTTAGGTGTAATGCTCCGACCTCTGGCACGGGTAGTGATGGACAATTTTATACATGTCCTCGCAAGTGCACGAGTCAGTGTAGTGGTAGTGTGCAAAGACAAGGGTCGAACCCAAGAGGAATTGATAATATGCAATTTATAATCTTGAAAATAATTAGATGGAATAAAAGAGTTTAACAAGAAATCTGAATTGCAGAATAATTAAATCAAATGTATGGAAAGAACTTAAAAGACAATAAATAATCAAAAACTAAAGAACAAAAGGAAATCGCAGAAAACTTGATATCTAACGGAATGATAAAAATCTAGGGAAGCATTTTAACATCAACACTTAAAAAGCAAATATAATAAAACTTAGTAGCAATTCGACACTAAAATCAATTAACAAATATAATAAAAATTAAGAATGCATTTTAATATCAACCATTAACACAATTGTGATAAAGCTAAGCAACAAATTGGAAATTAAAGATTTAATAAAAGGCATTGCAATTTGAAGAATAGAAAAATAAACCCAGGAAGAGTCACAATTAACAGTAGCTTAAAGGTGAAAAAGAGCACTACTCAAAAGGCTTTACAATAAGCAGCTAAACATCATAAATTAACTCCTCCAAGTAGCAACAAAACATAAAGTGCAAACAAATTACTAAATTAATAAATGAATTAAAAATCAGGAAATTGCCCAGAAGTTGCTGGAATTTGTTGCTGCCAAACAGTCGCAACGACACTGAATGTAATTTGCCCAAACCAGAATTGTTGTGCCAAAAATTAATTTGGAGCTGCCGTCCGCACCAACGTCGCTGGAACGGAATTGTTCACTGCCACCGGAATTGCTCCGGGGTAGATTGATGCCTTCTCCCTTCGCACTTCTTCTTTTTATATTGTTCCAACATCAACATCTTTTTCGATCCTCAAGCTCCGCACTATCCTGCACGTTGCAGCTATGGCCGAAGAGAGTGGTTCGTGTCGTCTGCGATCTCTTTTCTCGTTCATAGTTGTTGACCGGGAGCTTTAGTTTACCACACAAAAACTTAGACCGATGAATTATAGAAATAATTATTTTTCACTTCATAAAATAAATTAGAACCCAATAAAATTCTACAATTATTAGAACTCCATATTGATCAAGTACAACTAAACTACTACTACTACTACTACTATTATTATTATTATTAGATTAAGAAAGTATTAGACCGATAGAATTCAAATAATAAAATAATAAAATAAATTTAATAAAAAAAAAAACCTAAAATTGAATAATATTAACAAAGTTATTTAATCAAAATAATAAATAAAACTATATATAAATTAATCAATTATTGTAAATTAGCTATAAAAATATCATTAAAAATAACACTAAAAATAATGTTTATCAGGTAGCAGGTTTCACTTTTCTGGTGAAAGATGCGGGGACAACAGGTGGTTGAGTAGCAACAGAACCCTTTTGCTTAACAGAAGAGCGTAGAGTCTTGAAAATTTGTTGGATAGGTGGATTAGATTCAGATTTGACTGTTTCACTAGACTTTCTTTTCTTCTCAGGCTGATCTGTGTCAGCATTGTCATCACTTGTCTCAGCAATAACTTTTACAGGAACATTCTTCCTCTTAGACCTTCTTGTTTCTTTGGTTGGCGATTGAATAGGAGTCACAGAATGACTGGAGTCAGATACTTGAGCAGAAGAGCCATCAAGCAGATTAGTAACCTCTCGTATTTTAAATTTTGTGGAGTCAGGATGAGCAGTGGCCTCAATGGTTGGAATGTCAGATGGAGGTGCTTGAGACCCATAAACTTCAGCTAGAATCATATCATCTTCGCTGGAGGATTCAGATGGGTGAATCACTCGATATGGTTGAGGAATCGAAGCAGACGGTAGTCCAGCAAAATGTCGCACATGCTCCAGACTTTCACCTAACGATGTGGCAGTGTAGACTGGGATTCCACCTGTTTTCTCAGACTTATGGGGGCTTGAGAGGTCAACAGACTCAACATTAGCAGGTAAATAAGAAGAATCATCAGCATGGCTTGGGATCAACAGCAATCTTAGCAGATGGCAGAACAATATTATTAGAAGAGAATACAATTAGACTTAGATTATTGGGCTCATCAGATAATTTTTCTTTCTCATTAGATACATGCAAGACATCATTTTTCACACAATCAACTCACTTAACGGCAGGGATGAAGGATCAGCATTCACAGGGGGTTTCTCAGAGATCAAAGCAGTTAAATTTTCATTATTAGCAGGAACACAAGACGGAGTAGCAGAATCATAAGGCTTATCCGGTGAAATTTCAATAGGAGAATCAGAATTGTTTGACCTGTTTCGGAGGATCTCCAGTCTGTGTCTTGCCTCTTTTTCAGCAGCTTCGAGATACAAGGGCTGCGACTCTGCTTGCCGTCGAGAGACCTCAGCAGGTTCTAGGGCTCGTTGTGCAAAATGCCGAAGAAATGCCCCGCCCCGATTTCCATCCGAGGGTTCTGGAATAGATATTGGAGAAACCTCATCACTGGCTTCAGAAACCATCATCAGCAGATTAGTTGCATCTTCTTCAGACCAATCAGCATAAAACTCTGGGTAGTTTGTCATAACAGTCACCAATATCTCATCACGAAGCAGAGGATCAAGCTTGAGTTTCTTCTTCACGGCAAACTATAATAGCGTCTGGATATGCTTAAAAGCCACTTCTGGAGAATGTGTCTTGCTTCCGAGTTTGATGATGATATTTCTTACTGGATCCGCCATTGGAGATTTTTGTGAGAGGAGAAGAACAAATCAAGGGAGGCAAGGATGCAGAGAGAGAGGAAGACTGAGTGCTGAGGAACTCGTAGATATTTTTCTTCTTGGCCCGATAACAAATAGACTTAAGGGTGATGAACCCTAATTAATGTGGCTAGTCAAATAGAATGCAGACGCGATTGATTTGATCCAACGGTACAGCTTCTTTTCAGGAAAACAGCTTCCTAAAACAGATCTTCAGTGTCAGTCCTTCTGTTGTTGAATCTGGTTGATCAGTCCTCTGTAGAACAAAACAGACACTGAACTAATCCTATCTTAGTATGCCATAATAATATTGCCAATTATAAGTTAGGATTTTTGACCAATTAAACCACTAACATATACTTTTGGAAAATATTTATTTCACATACTCAGATCAAGCATTCTCAATCACTTAGGCATCACTTAAACATGCTTAACAGGGTTTCTATATGCTTGCAACCTAATTATCATATAGGCATGCTTTCACAAATATCTAGCTTATCATCGAGCTCATACTTTCACATACTTAACACCTCAGTAGCAATCTCATACTAACACATAACTCAATAAACAGTCTTGTGCTATCATATACTCTAAGCAATCTCATGCTATCATATACTCAACATGGAATCTCGTGCGGTCATATACTCAATATACAATCAATCATATACTCAATATACAATCAATAATATACTCATTGCGCAATCTAGTGAAATCATACTCAATATGCAATCTAGTACAATCATACTCATTATGCACTCTATATGCAATCTAGTGCAATCATATACTCATTATGCAATCTCGTGCAATCATACTCATTATGCAATCTAGTGCTCATATACTCATTATGCAATCTCGTACAATCATACTCAATATGCAATCAATCATATACTCATTGTGCAATCTAGTGCAATCATACTCAATATGCAATCTAGTGCAATCATATACTCATTATGCAATCTCGTGCAATCATACTCAATATGCAATCACTAGTACATATATGCACATTCGCTACCCTTGTAAAGGGTCATCCGCTACCCTTGTACAAGGGTAGCGGATGCGAGGGATGCTGAAAGTTGTGAGCTTTCCGCTACCCTTGTATGGAAGGGTAGCGAATATGATTATATTTTAAAGCATCCGCTACCCTTCTTACAAAAGAAGGGTAGCAGATTATTTATTTATTTATTTTTAAATCATTTTATTTTTAAATCCCCCAATTTTTTAAAAATCCTATACAAAATTCATACACTACATATCAACACTATATATTAACACAATATTATCAACACACAACACACTACATATTAACACAATATTATCAACACACAACACACTACATATTAATCCAATATTATCAACACACTATATCAAATACTAAAGTAAAAGTAAAGGAGCAAGATCACTTATTTCTAATGTAATAATTTGTTATTCAAAGTGATGAGCAGACAACCAAAACTAAAACTTACATAATAAATTTGCATATGATAATAGATACTTTATACTTTTTAAGTATATATGCATGTATAAAAAGAATGAATAAAGCACATGATCTTTAAATATGATTAGCATGCTACATTCATCACATAGATCGATCATAAATAAATACAGTGTATAATGTACTTTTTTTTTTTAAGACTATTATACTTAAAAGCTCATAATGAAACGTTGACAAACCTCTCCATTGCCGTCTTCCTCATCATCATTCACTTCAGACTTGGACTTAACAGACTCTTCCTCATCACCTCCCGCCTATTTGTCAATCACAAGAAAGAATCAAACTTCAAACATAAAACATACTAAAGAAACAAGACAACCAAGATAACTATACGAATTGAATAATATATGAAAACTTATTAACATTTTCTTAGTCGTAAGCTTCCATCTGTCTATTGTAGTTCTCCTTGCGCTACTATGCATGTAGGGAGTTTTCTACTAAATTTCAAATATTTTCATTAAAAATGCTCCACAACCCATTAAAATGATGAACCCAACTGCAAATATACCAAATAGCAAGCAATCTACCCTCAATACCTATAATTCAAGTATTCAACTACTGAATATATAAAAGCTCACATCTAAGCCAAAGCAACCCCATAAGCTTAATTTCTTCAACCGGCTGTGTTTAATGATCAACATTTGATATGCACGGCTGTGTTTAATGATCAACTTTTTATATGCACGGTGTAACTCGCTGTTGGGTATTTTTTGAATGTCAGAGTCACCATTATCCTCTGGGCTGCCTAAATTTGGATCACATATGGTCATTCCACAGTCCATAATGTCTAGTTGAGGCAATTGAGCTGTAGCAAATTGAATACCACCTAAAGAACAAGCATGTCATAGGTATCATATGAAGTGCAGATAAATAGGTCCCAGGAATAACTTAGTGAAGGGCATTTTAAGCATTACTTGAAGTAATATTAGGACAAAGGGCAAGGAGAAGTTTGGACAATGTCTCAGGAAAAACATTGGGTATCATTCCAATGCCACTATCACTTATACTAGACCTGAAATAAAAAGGAAAAACATCAATCAAAATAGACAGTCATGCAAACTAAATACAATAATATGTTCATAGAACTTGGAATTATCCCAGAAGCATGATTTAATTCAGACTAAACTGCATCTGTTACCAATCAACCAGCTGTAGCATATTTAGATTTAATATTTTGCTTCTCTGTTCAGGTTTTTTCTTACAAGTCAAGGAATGATCAGGATACTGTCCCTTCATAGGAAAAGAAATTGAAAAAAGAAAAAAAAAGAGTAGATATGAGAGTAATGTTTTGGAAAAGGGAAAGAATCCATTCAAAAACCGGGTAAAAGAGTAGGAGGAATAAGGCACAAAAGTGTTAAAACCACACAAATTGATCCATAGGATCTATTTTGTCATTTCAATAATTCAATGTGCACTCCATATCAATCAGGCTCACTACTAGAAGTCAGAAGACCCCCAACTACTCATCCTACTTTCTATACCAGTGTTAAAGCAGTGATGGTGTAAACTCTGTTAGTTATGTTCTGTTCTAATAATGCCTTTAGGACATGCTCTAATTCATCTTTCCCACTTCTAGAGCTCTTTCTGAACTTTTCCACCTCATCATAACATCATTTATCAAGATCATATTCTATTCAAATGCCATATCAATGTTTTATCAACTAGACCGTTAATGGCAATGAGAGCTGCAAATATTCAAGTGCAAGAGATAAATGGAAACCAACATAGTTCTAGAAATAACCATAAGATTAAGTGCAAATATAATGCAAACTACTTGGATGGCAATGTTTCACCTGCAAAATCCCGAGCAGAAGTGGCTCTATATATATATATATATATATATATATATATATATATATATATATATATATATATATATATAACAACAACATAGATAACCTCAAAATCTCCATGACAGAAAGAAATAAGCAATATACAGTAGTAGAACCACTGCATTGATTTGTGGTGTTCACTGATCCCCACTGCATTTTTGAATCAAATCCCCTCTCCAATATATGTTTATGAAACACTAGCTTTATATATAGTATGTCCCCACTGTAATATGTTTATATATAAAATAATTTTGAATTTGCAAAACTATCCTAACATTGTTTCCAACATTCGTACCTACTGCAGACACACACAAACAAACAAAAAGAATTCAAGCTTTACGACAATTGGTTTTTCACTGCAAATTTAAAGCTTTAGGACAATTGGTTTATAATAACAAAAATAACTAAAAATTCGAAATACAAATTATAAAAATTAACAAACATAATATTTATTACAATAATAATTAAAAAAAATAACCAAAAAAAAATATTACCTGAGACGAAGCAGCGGCGGTGAATCGGAGCAGCGGCGGCGACGACGGATAACTGTGGCGGTGGAGACAGTAGATGAGGGTGTGGCGACGGTGAATGGATGAACAGGTGGAACTCGCGGCGCGTCGGCTGAGGAAACCTGTGTAGCGGTGGGAGAACTGTGTGGCGGTGAGGAGAACTGTCGCGACGGCTGAGCGAGTCGCTAGTGAGGCGTCGGCGCCGGCGTGTGTTGAGGGAGGGAGGTGAGGCGTCGACGCTGGCTTGTGCTGAGGGAGGGAGGTGAGGCGTCGACGTGTGTTGAGGGAGGGAGGTGAGGACGGAGAACTATGTTGAGGGTTGTGAGGGTTTTCGATGATCTGACTTCTTTTTTTTTTCTTTTTTTTTTTTTTTAGATATTGTTTCCGCTTCCCTTGCTACGAGAGAGGGCAGCGGAAACTCTTTCCGTCTTTGAAAACCGCTACCTTATTTTAGAAAGGGTAGCGGTTTCTTATTGATTTAATTACAATTATGCCACCGTCCCATTTTTTAAAAATAATACACTACCCTTGTTTAAAGAAGGGTAGCTTAAACTCGAATTTCTTTGGTCCATTTTGTACTAGTGAATCTAGTGCAATCATATACTCATTATGCGATCTCGTGCAATTTACTTGATCATGCAATAAAATGAACATGATACTTTAGTATAAGTATACATAGGTATACATATACACTCTTTTGTAAAAAGATATACTTTTTCTGTGGAGGTTTCTTAAAGTCACAATGACTCGCTTTTGTTCTCTTGAGTCTCTTGACTCGATTGCTTTTTCTTGTGCGAGGCAGGTTCTCTGCCGCAGCGAAGCCCTAGCATACGGTGCAATCTCGTGCATCCGCCACATCCGTAACTACAGAACCTCTAACTCGTGGGGAGGTAGGACCTTCACACTCGTGAATGGACCTTTACATGCTCAGCAATCTAGCCGGCTTAATACTCAACTCGCCCACAAAACCACTCTCTTGGTTCTTTATCTTTTTTTTTTTTTTTCTTGCTTACTTTCTCTGTGGAATCAGGTATCGTACTTTTAATGTGCACACCCCCTAACCAGGATTCTAAGCCTGGCGGGAAGTCTCCAACCTCGTAACTCGAAAATATCTACCTCGTTACATGATATCAGATCGCAATGTCCGTTTCTTGCCGGTTCTTAACCAATCTTGCTTTGCTTTCTCTCTTTCAATATTGCCAGTTTTTAACCGATCTTGCTTTCTTTCTTTCTTTCAATATTGCCAGTTTTTAACCAATCTTGCTCTTTTCTTCCGAAAGGACATAGTCCTAACGGTCCTCCAAAATACTATTTTCCACACAATAGATAGCATATATATATATATCTCATGCAACTTCTTTACTTATGCAACTTATTCACATAACTTCTCAACAATCTCTCAATGCAACAAGATAATGACTTTCTAAAGTAGCTATGAGTTTTTGAAAATAATACTTAGGCACACTTTGGCCACTTATGCATTTTAAAACAAGATATGTTCAAATATGCACTTTACTGTAGAATATGCTTCAAAACTTCTTTCACTATGAATTCTCAACAACTGCCTAAGCATGCATATAAATCATAACTTATCAAATATTTTTTGGCAACACTTAGCAAGTATTCAACATGCACTTGAATTCCAAATACTCAACAAAACTCATTCACTGTAAATCATGCTCTGAACACTTCAACATGTAATATACTTTGCAAAATTCTCAACAAGTCATAATAGACATTCTAGGCATGCTTTTCTAGCGAAATTTAACAAATAGAGTTCATGCTTCTTAGTCTAACAATCATATAATTTGTCATACTTCTCATCAATTACTCAAGATCAAACACTTAGCAATTCCTCTCAATAAATACTATCAGATATTTAGACATGCTTCTTAACAAATTAAAATACTCAAATGCTTCAGTTCCACTTACTGTAACATATTTACAGAACACAAACATATGCTGAGTATTCGATTATCACATTTTCATCTATAAATCATGCTTTCTAACTCCGAATCACACGAAACGAACTTCTACAAGTGCGTCGTATCGAGCCCGAGTGTCCGAGCCTCAAGGGCCCGCGAGTCCCGGTCCGAACGAAACGTAGCTGAGCCACAAAGGGCCCGACCACTACACTGTTTTGACCTGGCGGGGCTTGGTGACGGGGATTGAGAAGCCCCACCACTCAGCCCCGCCTAGCAACGGGGCTTGGCAACGGGCCTTGCCATGTCCCGTTGCCATGGTCCACCACTCAACGGGGCTGGCCAACAGACCTTGCCAGGGTCCGTTGGCTAGCTCCGTTGGATGTTCTAGTGCACCAGATATCTTATTCTTCGCCTGTAAACACTTTCAGTGCAAACCAACACTTCGAAACCATCAACAACAAATCAGAGATCAACAATAGATCACTTAATAGCTCAACCACATCAATAATCTAGCATTTCTAGCATTTCTAAGCATTTCATCTAGAATTTAGACTTCACAGAGTCTAATAAAGCTTAATGGGAGTCCATGTTGTCTCATCTTCTTGTGTGGATCTCTTCTTCCTCTACACTTAGCTGGCACCACCTTCACTTCCTAAACTCCCCAAACAAAACATAGATACACACTAAGCTCAACACAACCTCAGAGATGGAAAAGCAGAGATAAAGAGGCTAGCTTAGGAAGATGAAATGAAATGAAAATGAATGGAAGGGAAGATGACTTACTGTGCTTCCTCTCTTCTTTCCCAGAACTCTTCTACTTAGAGTGAAGGAGGCAAGGAAAGATCAGGAGACAAATGCAATGGAATAGTGTTGTATTTATATCGGTTCAAAACCCTAGATATGATTGGTTGAGGGCAAAGGGGGTAATTTGGTTGACTCTCTAAAATATCAGGCAAAAGTTTTGGAAGGTTGTGGTCCACCATGTAACATGGATCAATGTCTAGAATTAAATTTTGAAATAGTTTGGGGTTTAAAATAAATTTCCCGAAAGTGATTTCTAAATAAATACTTGGTTTAGGCTTCTCAGATTTCTCCGGTTTCACTCTGTAACAACCCAAAAAATTCATTTTATAAATCCGGTATTAAGAAATTCCAAAACAACCATTTTCACTCCACTAAAAATTTTTGTGAACAATTGTTGTTTGAATAAATTATTTTTCGTTACATTATAAATTAATTCGACACCAAAATCGTTTCTATTTGAAAATTTCCTAAGTTTTCGGGTACTCCGCGTACCAAGATTTTAATCGAGAAATTTATCTGAGTGAGACCGGGAGAATTCCAAAAGATTTTAAACAAGTGTTTATCCAAATAGCTTTTTGAGAAAATTCACTTTCAACCCCAAAGAATTTAAAGTTAGCATTTCTAGCCTTGGTCTATGATACAAGGTGAACCATTTCATTCCAAAAGACTTTGCTGAGAAACACATTTTATGCAAGCTTTTATCATTTTGCCCTCACCCAATCATTGGCCTTCTACCTAGAGTTTTTGGACCCTATATATACATCACTATTCCATTTTGATTCCCTGATCTCATTCTTTGCCTCTCCAAAAATTTTGTCTACCAAGAGAAAGGGAGAAAACAACATCACAGTAAGCTCATCTCCTTCTTCAATCCTAGCCTTCATTTTTATTCTAGTTTCTTCTAATCTTTGAAGTTCTAGGCTAAGGTTGTATGGTGTGTTTGGGAAGTATAGGTGGTGAAGGAGGCACTAGCTAGATAGAGAGGAAGAAGAGATCCAAGCTAGAAGAAGAACTACAAGAGGTATAACCCCATGGGTTCCTCTTTAAAATTTGGCTTTGTGAAGCCTTTATGTTGAGTAAAAATGAGTAGAAACTATGAGATTTTGTTGTGTTTATGCTTAGAAGTGATCTAGTAATTGTTTGTGAGTTGTTGAGATTGTTTTGGACTTGTTTGGTTGAGTTTTGCAGATGAGAAAGCCTTCTGGTGCACACTAAGGGTGCACCAGATCAGACTCACGGCCCTACAGGAGGGCAGTCGGCTACAACCGTAGTGGCACAGGACTAGGGCACGGCCCTAGAGGAGGGCCGTCTGTTAGGAATAAAGTGTAATGGTTTTGATATGCCAAATATGTATTTGTAGATCCCCCAATTTTATTTTATAGGTCTAGTAGAGTCTAAGACCATGATCGAGAAATTATTTCAATTGGAAAAGAGAAAAACAGAGGAAGATGCATGAAAATAGAAGAAGAAGATATAAAGCCTAAAATCAAGAATTTGTCTGGAGAAAATGACAAATTGAAGAAGTTGAATGATATGAAAATCACGTCAGTGCTACTCAAAGAAATATCCCAGAAGAATTTTCGTGAAAGAAAATTAAGTTTGGAAGATTGCATGAATTTGAATTGGAGATCAAGCATCTATGAAAAGAAAGGAGTACATCAAATATGATTGGAGATATAACCAATAAGCTGTACGTACGAAGTGGAAGATGCTTGATATGTTATGCAAAATGGCTCAAGTTCAAAACTCACCATTAACAATTTAACAAGGTAAAATTTTGAGAAGCCAAATCTAATTAAATCTGATGGAGTTGGGCGCTAGTTTGGCCTTGGGAGCAAGTTTCACATGGGGAATCAATTCAAGTTCAATTGAGGTTAGTATGGGATGCAATTTCAAATTGAAATCCGATTTCATAGGAATTGAAATTGGGAGTCAACGTCTCACATGGGAGTACCAGGGAACGGAACAGAGAGAGCATAAATATCAAGTGCTTTACTTGATATATTCAATGAGAGAAATCATTTCAGAGTGTTTATCTTCATCAAAGAGACCTGCGCATCATTGAAGATCATCTACAGAGTCTCAAAAGTTGGAAGCGAGACAACACTTGTTTTGGAGCAAAACAAGAGAAGGGAGGAAAGTAGCACTGAGCTGTGAAATCCTGGATTGTCACACGGAGTTGTGAGATCCGAAGCAGCAGTGTCGGAGGCACTGGGCATGATTAGTGCGGGCTTTGTGATCAAAGCACTAGATCACGGGATACGTTTCTACCGGAGTGTGGAAGACGGGGGGAAAGTAACGCGGAGTCGTGAAATCCTGGGATAGTAGCGCGGCGACGTGAAACCCGAAGCAGCAGTGTGGTGTCACTGGGCGTGATTAGTGCGGGTTTTGTGATCAAAGCACTAGATCACGGAAATTCATTGTATCTTGGAACCAAGAAGTGGTAGATATAGTGAATTGCTCTTGGAGAGAAGAGCAAGTGGAGTAGGAGGATTACACCACCTCGCGAACCACTATAATTGTCTTGTGTTCTTTACTGCTTTCTTTACTTACTGCTCTTTACATAATTG